GGGCCGTAAATGAAAATGGGCTATGGTGTTGAAGATACAACTTTGAACTATATCAGTTATACACCGATCCAGATATTGTGAAATTTGTTCAAGTGCGGATACTTGGATGATCTGGATACATTGCTAGTATGTCAGATCACGAATACAGGAAGATATTAACATTTCAAAAACCAGAGGGTACAAGAAGTAGAGGACGACCACGAAGGAGTTGAATTGATGATGTGAAAGAAGACTTACAGATTCCAAGGGTCAGAAGATGGAGGGAAGTTGCCAGGAATCGCCAAGAGTAGCGGCTTTTTTGTGAGCAGGCCAAAATAAACAACGTATTGTCGAGCCACTTGATGAATTATGATGAAATCATAGTATACTAAAATTGAGCTGATTTGATTGCTGACTAGTTACGCATTATAACGGTATGTCATAAAATCCAATGAAAATTGATGTATATATTGAAACGAATAAACTGTGTGAATTGACAAAGTTCAGAAGAACTGAAAGAGAAGTGATGGAAAAAAAAAACTAACAATAGGGCTAAGCTCAGAGGAACAAATTTAAATGGCCAAAGAGACACTTAATCTCAAGTGAGTGTTCGGGCTAGCTTCAATGCACTGGATTGTGGCTTTAAAGATTTAAACAGATAGCAAGGATACTGAGCTAATGAGACAAGAAACGAAATGAGACCTGGTAATATCAAACGTGATACAACTGAAGAAGGTCACTGGGAATAAATTTATAGAAAGAGAACAATAAGAAGAGAAAAGAAGGGCGCCAACTCAACGATAGTTGAGATTTTGAAGTAACAAATGAATCTGGAGGTAATACTCTGAAATACAAAAATACTAAATATTAATCTTGTTTTGCTATGTTATATACTGGTTAGTAGAACTGAAATAAAACTCAAAATAGCAACAATAAATATATTTATAAACAAATGTATATAGGTATATGTGTATAAACAATTTACATATAATGCAAAGCCAAATAACAGTGGTAGTGGATGGTGTACAGATACAATAGGACCTAATAGCCCCTCAACAAATGAATAGTCACTACCACTGGCCAAATAAAATATGAAATATTAGTATACAACAAGAATAGTCCGTAGGGTAGCCAAAGTCTTAAAACAAAAAGGTAGTCATTTAAATTTAAATTAGTTATACTAAAATGAGGTACTAATGACAATATTGTAAAGATATCAAACTTGATAAATCTCTATTACAATTATATTAAATATATATATTACATCCAAAAAATGAGTTGTTCCATACTCATTATATAATATTTAAAAACAAACCACATTAAATTTATGTCCCTCTTAATATCAAATTGTATTATATTAACAAAAATATTATATCCAAAAAAAAAGTGAGTTTGGTCAGACTCTGTATATTCTAGTTAAAAAAACTAATAAAAACAGGTAATATATTTTCCCTCTCCCAATAATATCAAAATTAGATTATCAAAAAAATTAAATTATCACAAAAAAAAGGTATTTACCTTATCATATGCATATGATCAGTTAACAGTAAATATAAAGTAATACGTAATACAAAAGGTCAAATAGTTAAACGACTTATCTTTACAGCACTATAAGTCCATAGGAAAAACTCCTCTTGGCACGGCTACATCAGTTTGTGGCTGTAAAGACGAATCCTGGTCACAAAAGCCACATCCAGTCACTGGCCTCTGGGTGACAGCAAAATCCACGGGTTTGCTAACTATGTATCTATGGATTCTGTTACTAGTATCCTTGAGGGAATATTCTCAAGAGAATATCCTCAAGTACAGTGAAATTAATATTTTCACGTGACGGAATCTAAAATGATTATTTAATTTAATAAATACAATTCAATAGGTGTAACAGCATGGATTGACTGCACCAAAACAAAACATCAAAACATTAGGTATTAGGTTAAGTAAACATCATGTCAAATTTATGAAGTTACTTTCGTAGGCATGGCAAGCTTGCGCCATGAAAAGAACATGCGCAGAATACAGAAGGCTGTCCCACATTCGTAGAACCTTTTTATATTCCACCAAAAAAAGTTAGTTAAAAGGAAACCAAAAAAAACTTAATGATAAGATATGAAATAGATCGGAATTTAAGTTTGACTATATAAAAAAAATGACCTTCTGTTCTTTGCAAGTAAATCAAGGAAATTTTATATTTAAATTATTTCGGAACTCAAAAATAAATCTCTAAAGAAATACTAAATACAATGATAAATTTGATTATATGATAAAGAGATAATACGTATAAAATGATTTACTTACATGGAGCTCGCAGCACGCCAATAAAAACTTCCTTTTATGTGGAACTCATAAATGAATATTGATTTTATTATTTTACTTATTATTATTAAGATATGTATTTTATTTATAAATTAATTTATTCTTCCTCAAATTATCTTCCTTGCTCCAATTCCGTCACTTTGAATGTGAACAATTTCACCGGTTGGCGTGTCTGCGTTGACGAGTTCTGACCAAAACTGATCGTTTTCGTACAAACTCGACCAATCTTACTTTTTAAGCGACTACTACGCGTGTGGGGAAAAATGTCCATTTAAAAATCGATCGTAGGCGGGTAATAAAAATTTCTTGAGGGGTTTAAATTGGACTAGTCAGTAGCGTAAACGCTACAATATGAAAAAAACTTAAACTGTCTTTAGACATTTTTGATGTGTTTATTTCGTAACAAAAGATATCACATTCGGTTGGAATCCACATATTTGCTGATCAATCAATTACTTTTTCCAAACTTTAGATCGGATAATATTACTTCGTTTTCATCGTCTTATTTCCGGGATACAGGGACGAGATTTCGAGACCGTTTCGTCTCTTAGATCAACTTCAAAAGAAGAAAACACATTTGTTGTGTGTGAAAACACAATGATTTTACTGCGTTATTACTATAATAAACGGTACCCAAGATAAGCAAAATGCCTACACTCCTAGAATTTAATTAAAAAAAAAAAAAAATTACTTCCTATGTAATTAAACATAAAGCTTAACGCAATTTTATAACTTAAAACCCGAATTTTATTACTTAAAACCCGAATGAGGAGTAGAAGATACTTGGCAAAAAATTAAGAAATGCATCAACGAAGCAGCAGAAGAAGCGATTGGAAAGCGGAAAATTAACACCAGAGCGACAAACCAAACCAAACCGTGGTTTTGCCAAGAGGTAAAAGAACTCTCTGAATTAAAACGCAAATGCTACCTGAGATATAAAAGCACGCAATCGGAAGAAGCTCATGCAGAATATGTCCAAATAAGAAACGAAGTAAACGCCAGAATAAAATCAATCAAAAGAGAACATTGGGCCAAATTCACTTGCGACATGGACTACGACCTATATGGTGCCCAAAAGAAAGTATGGAAAATGCTCCGCAACAGGAAAAAACCAGTTAACGAGTTCGTGCAGACCAAAGAAGTACCTATAGAGACATGGCAACAGCATTTTAAAGAGCTATATGATGCTGAAGAAACGCTGAATATAAACGAAGGCGAAACAGATGTGAGTGCTACAATCAATGACGAAGAAGTAGAAGCAAAGATCAAAAAGCTAAAAAACAGAAAATCACCGGGAACGGATGGTATACCCAATGAACTTTTAAAATATGCAGGCCCGAAACTTGCAAGTAAACTGGCACAACTATTTAACAAAATATTAAACAAAACAGAAACACCAGAGGAATGGCATAATAGTATCACAATCCCCATATTTAAAAAAAGACAAAAAACCTGCCCACAAAACTATAGAGGAATAACCCTCTTAAATACAACAATGAAAAATAGGTAAAGAAATAATAATAAGACTTACTCACAATCAATTTAATTTAACAATCTGACGACCGGTTTCGCTTTCTACAATTTGCAAAGCATCTTCAGGTCGAGATACAAAGTTAAACTAATGCTGCAATAAAATAAACCCAATTAGGGTGGTGTCTCATAAAGATAAAATAAACAAATAAATTAGTTCATACAAATTATAGTAATTATGCCAATATTACATGTCTGTGGTTTTCAAAATGGATAATTTGAATATATAAAAGGTATTAACAGACAAGGTAAGAACCACAATTGGTATAAAGTAGCAATCTTATATTGTAATAAATTAATAAATGAGCAACTAAATAAAACAAAACAAACATTACTTACATGCCGGTACTCTATTAATTGATGGATGGTAGGTCATGGTTGCAAAAATCATGTATTGTTGATTGGAGAACTTTAATGTGCTATTGCAGTTGTTTTGACAATAAACGGGAAGTTCTTGAGGAGAACAGATTTGATCCAATGAATTAGAGATAGGTATATTGTGGTTATACACCACAGCATGTGGTGTATAACCGCATTAAACAGCACGAAAAAAGTTATACGCTGTTTTAGAAAAAAAATTAATTTTTAGGTTATGTACGCTTAATCTACGGGTCTACAAAAATAGACAAATTTTGTAAAAGCCTCAACTATGCGTGTGAGTTGTTTGAAATTTTTAAATTGATTGAATCACAACTAAAAAAAATTAAGACATTTTTGCAATTAGGAAGTAGTAGGAGGGGGGTTACAGGGCTAGAATTGCACTGAGCCCTCTTTTTTAATTACATAGAACGTAAAAAAAATAAAAAAATTGAATTCTGTGAGTGAGGACATTTTGACTATCTTAACGTCGGTACTCTTTCTAGTAAGGTGACGTGTTTTGCTAACCAACTGATCGGTAGAAAACGTCCAGTAATTACATAATATATATTGTTCTGAAAACATTAAAACGCACAATTAGAGGATAAAAAACTGTCTTGTTGATTCAGTGAAGTGGATAATACTTTTTTTTTAATCTGCTCTATGATTTAATTAATATTTATCTTTGTAAATATCCTGGAAATCATAAGGAAAACGTAGGGATATTCAAATATACTGAATAAATACGATAATGTGGGTATCTTTTGTATTTTAATATGTAGTCTAATTTTCGCGCCTTTTTATCTAGTTTTTGATTTAAGGAAATAGGTGGTCTGGAAATATTAATAAATCTACTAGAAACAAAAGACCTCAAATGCAAACTAGGCGCCTTAGGCGTTTTATCAGAGCTATCCACAAATATGGATATACGCAAATCTATAGCAGATTTGGGCGGAGTGGAGTTATTGGTACAGAATTTAGCAGAGCCCGCTAGAGATCTGCAAGTACTTGTTGCCGAAACTATATACAATGTTGCTCAAATCCGAAAAGCTAGGAAACATATTAGAAAGTGTAATGGAATACCCAGACTGGTGGACTTTTTAGATGTGAAAGAGTCTCTATTGAAGACGCCGAAAGATCAGTTAAATGAGTACGATGCTGAACAGGTAAGTGCTAAAATATGAATATTTGGTATTTATTTTTAATGTTCAACAGATCGTGTACGCCTACAGCTATAGAAATATAAATATTGGTTATTTAGGTGGCTTCTGTACTAAACTTTCAGAATTCTAGGCACTAGTTTTTTAGAAATGTGAATACAATTAAGGCGATGACATCATTGCCAGTTTTTAATAATCGATATTCTATGATCTATGATTCTATGATCGTTTTTTATTAGTTAAGGCATCTAATAAAATGTATTTAATAACATCAATATTTATGTATAATATATTATATTTATATACAATATGTATATATAGAAAACATCTAAAGTACGATAATATTCTTTGTAAAAATCATACATGACAACGTCTTGTTCTAAGACCAGTAGAAATGAATAGAAGATCAAAGTTGCCATAAGATAGAGAGAGATAAATTTCTTATTGATTTCATAGTGTAGCATTCAGTAACGTATCATTCACTCTGTTGCAGTGAATTTTAAAAATTAATCTTAATATTATACGATATGAGACTTATTTAACCTTTTAAGTGAATATTTCTTATAAAAAAAAAACACTTCACAAAAGTATATAATACCCTATATGCCATAAAACTGTAGAAACATCAACCACATAATCTCTAATTTCCCATCCGAACCTCCCATATCTTCCTACAGCTCGCGCTCCATCGAGCTCTTCACTTTCATTTCTTAGCATTTTTGTTGCTATTTCGATATTTTCCTGGAATTTTGTTATACTGTGTATGTTCTTCGATTAATAGATTCCTAAAATATATTTCCCGCATATGTGCACAACTGCTTCTTTTTTATTTGTTAGCGTTCCGTCCTCTCTTTTGATATATATTTCCAAAATTTTGATATCATTTTTTAGCCCTTTTACTTTTTACTTCTTGGTAAAAGGAACATATTTCCTTTTCTGTTTTTTTTTTATTTCGTGTAGTACTTTGTGGTTGTATGTCCCTTTCTTTCGTCTACATCTCTCATTTTTATCAATTCATTTTCCTTCTTTGATAGTTCAAAAACTATTTGAAAAACTTCTATTAAAAAGATTAAAACCAATAATAGAAAGAAAAAATCTTATACCAAATCATCAATTTGGTTTCAGAAATCAACATTCCACTATAGATCAAGTTCACAGAATAACGAATATAATAGAAATAACATTAGAAGAAAATAAAGTCTGCTCTACAATCTTCTTGGATGTAGCACAGGCGTTTGATAAAGTCTGGTATGACGGTTTAAACTATAAACTAAGAACGTTCATGCCTAAACAGTATTCAGAAATCTTGGAATCATACATTGCGAATAGATATTTCAGAGTAAAACAAGAAGAAGTGTACACCGACTTAAGGGAGATCAAAGCTGGCGTGCCACAAGGAAGTGTCTTAGGTCCGGTCCTGTACCTATTGTATACGTGTGACATTCCAGAGCTAGAACAAAATACTATTGCCACCTTCGCGGATAATACAGCCATACTAGCGATAGGAGACACTAGTGAAGAAGCGACTGATAAATTGCAACTATCAGTAAATAAAATACATAACTGGACCAGAAAATGGCGAATAAAATTAAATGAGACTAAATCTGCACACATTAACTTTACAAATAAAAAATTTCCCAGTTAGAATAAATGATACCCGAATTCCTTATACAACATCAGCAAAATACTTGGGCATCACCCTAGACGCGAAGCTGCGCTGGAAAGTCCATGTCAAAAAGAAAAGAGGGGAGCTTGATATTAGATATAAGAAATTGTATTGGCTGATTGGAAAAAATTCAACATTGTCAATTCATAATAAATTATCCATCTACAAGCAAGTACTGAGGCCAGTATGGGTATATGGGTGCCAACTCTGGGGCTGTACCAAAGCTAGTAATCTACTTATTATCCAGAGATTTCAAAATAAAGTACTGAGAAACATTGTTGATGCTCCTTGGTATATCCGTAACAGAAACCTCCACCAGAACCTGGGTATGGAAACTGTGATCGAAATAATCAAGAGAACAGCAGCAAGTCACGAGCAGAGGCTGCATAGTCATGTGAATGTCGAGGCAATCCAGCTTTTTGACAACACTGAACTAAAGAGAAGACTCATAAGGACAAAACCATTTGAGCTAGTGTAAATGTGTAACAGTTTAGTGTAAAAAGCAGAATATAGTGCTGTGAAGTTACTGCTTGCTAGTTGTAGTGCATTATTTAATAGATAAAATAAGAGTAAGCCATAGGGTAAGCCCTTAGATTTAAGTATTTGCTGTTATTATGTTAGGTCAGAAAATAACTAATAATTGGTCATATGTGACCAGATAGCAGTATACAACCACCGCACAGGTGTTAATAAATAAAAAAAAAATTCCTTCTTTGATACTTGTTAAGTTGGTTTAAGATATCATTGTTGTTTATTAGTGGCAATTGTCTTATTTATTCATTTTCTTCAGCTATTTTACTTTACGCTTTAAAGTTATTTTGGTTCTTTTACGGAATGATCGATTATGGTGCTGAAATGCTTAAAACTACTAAGAAGTTGGTATATACATTAGACGTTACTCAAAGAAAAATGTATATCTTGCGAGACCGCGTAAGAAATACATTCGTTTGGCAAAAAACATAATTACAAGACCTAATACAACGAATTTTTACGCTAAAATGGAAATGAATAGGATTATAGAACCGCTCAATACGGAGCCTAGTAGATCAGTTTAAAGGAGGCCTTTGTCCAGCAGTGGACTAATCATCAGACTGGGAGATGATTAGAAAAAATATTAATTAAAGCTATTATTTGAGAAAAATTAAGCTTTCTCTAAAATTATGTCACTTGATCTAACTTTCTATTTTAAATCGAATCTACCTCTAGGATGCTGAACCAAAACGGCTAACATTATTCACTAAAAGTCATGAAAACAAAATTGACCTGCCTCTCTGGTTTTTCATATTATTTACAAGAATGGCGGCAATTATTTGTAGAAAGTTCTCAAACTGTTATTCTGTATACGTCTAGTCTTATACATACTGTTGTACACTATTGTTGCCATGCTTTATTTTTCTTGCAATATAACATTCTTCACACTGTAGCTTGAACCTGCTTGAAGACCAGCTTTTCAATGACATTTTTTATATTAAAAATTTTTGACATTGATTTTTTATTTATCTCTTTGACGCTGTAGATTTATCTTGTACAAATAATTATTAACATAAAATTTATCTTATGTAAACATGGGTATCCTAAAACTAACGCAAGATTTGAATTAAATTAAAAACACTGTTTGTATTGATGGATTAGTATAGTATAGTAGTAGTATGTATAGAATAGTCCATCATAAATGGCTTCCACAGCTTTGCATAAGCACTCTTTTGTCGAAATTGTTCATGAATGTTTTGCATAAATGTGGCTGAATTCATTGTAGGCTTATTTGACTCCAAACAACCCCATATAAAGAAATCCAATGGTGTTAAATCAGACGATCTAGTGGACCAATTCTGAGAGAGTACACAAACAGGAAATGTCTTATACAGTAAATGAATTGTGACACTGGCTGTATGACATGTAGCATTGTCTATCTTATCATGTTGTGATATCGAGCACCAGTAACTGTCACTGTTCACATCAGCCTTATTTTCAAGGAAGTATGGTCCAATGATGGTGACAAGTTATAGATGTATTTTTTCACGACAGTCACAAAAACTATTAAGGTGAAAATGAATCACCTTGTGATATGGCACATATTGGGATGGCAATAAGCCATCAGTATCCTCTTCTTGATGTTCAATAATCCATTCAACAAACTTCCTGCACTAATGATCATTAGCGTTCAGTTCTTGTGTTAATTGAACTTTGTAAGTATGAAAATGCAGATCTTTAGCGAGTATACGCTGTAGAGACTTTCTTGAAATTTGCAATTCTTGTCCACGACTCCGAATTGATGTTTCTGGACTTTCACTAACACTCTCACACACTATTTTGATATTGACATATAAGCAGCTTCTTTTTGGATAAGCAGGGTGTTTCCGTCTATTGATCCAGTCTTTCAGAATTTTTCAATTATTCTCTTCATCTTCTTCTTAACATGCCATACACCAAAGTGCGTAGGCGACTATCTCATTACTAGAATTCTGTTCTTGGCGGCGTGACACAGCTCACCTGTATTGTGTATTCCTGTCCATTCTTTAATATTCCTTAACCAGGACAATTGTTTGCGGCCGGCTCCTCTCCTTCCTTCGATCTTCCCTTGTAGGATTAACTGTGGTATTTCATATTTTGCTCCTCTCAATATGTGCCCAAGGTAACCAATCTTGCGTTTTTTAATTAATTCAAAGAGTTCTCTTTCCACGCCGGCTCTATTAAGGACGTCATCGTTTCGAACTCTATCCACCCAAGGTATGCGCATCATTCTTCTCAATGACCACATTTCAAATGCTTCAAGTTTGTTGATAGATGTTTTTTTCAAAGTCCACGTTTCCATGCCATAAAGCAAGATGGACCATATGTAGCACTTGACCATTCTGTAGCGTATTTCGAAGTTTAGGTGTTGATTACATAGGAGCGGTCTGAATTTCACAAAAGCTTGTCTTGCCATTTGTATTCGGGTTTTTATCTCGTGTTGTGGATCCGATTGGTCATTGATTGTGGTGCCAAGGTATTTAAAAGTTTTCACGCGATTTATACGATTGTCACCTATGCATAATATCGGGTTTTCTGGAGGGTTTCTGCTAATGACCATAAATTTCGTTTTCAAAATGTTGATTTTGAGGCCATATTTTTTACCTATGCTATTCACCCTATCAAGTAATAACTGCTCAACTTCATAGTTGAGTTTAAATCAATATTCCGACCATATTTCACCAAACTGTCATTATTTTAACAATATTTTTTTAATAATGAAAACGCGTTATTTTTTAGTGTAACGCTTCATTTTTACTAAATCCAAACTGTCAGTTGTAAAACTATTTTTTTGCTGTCAACATATCCTCTCTCTCAATTAAGATGAAAAAAATATTAAGAAAATTATATATTTAAAAATTACTTAAAACATCATTTTTTTCTACATTTCCTTGCTTCATTTTGAAGATACAACCTATCAAAGTTGATAAACATTTGCGACGAAGATGTAAATGATAGGATGATACTGACTTTAAACCATTACCTTTTTCTTTCGGAGCTTTTCTTCGACAAATATTTTCATATCTTCAAGATGTTTATAGCATATATTATAATAATAAAAACCATCGGTATTGCACGTGAAAATACTAAAAAGTTAGGTTAAACCAAATTGAATGTCGAATATCAAAATCGGTAGGTATATGTAAAAAAATGTATTTTCTCGGTTTTCAATAGCTATTTAAAAACCGCATTACCAAATGTCGGCTTTAGTTTTTTTATAAATAAATTAATTGATTTATACTCCAGTCGTCAGAGACGAAAATTCCACAGAACCTCTAAAAAGAGAATGTTGATTTTACTACTCCAAAAAATATGCAAAAAAATTTACTACTCCTACTCTTCTGAATCTAAAAAGGTCCCCAAGTTCAGATATCTCGGTGGTTGGATAACTGAATATTAAGATCCAGACATAGAGATACGTAGCAGGATTGAGCAATCCAGAACAACGCAAGTACCAATTCTTAAAGCTTATTATGGAAGGGAATATAGAAGGAAAACGGGGCATCGGAAGAAAGAAATACTCATGGCTTAAAAACATAAGGGATTGGACAAACCTCGATGCCTATGTACTCTTTAGAGCCACACGAGATCGAGAGGAGTATGCCAGAACTGTCGCCAACATCTACTAGTTGGATAGGGCACCATAAGAAGAAGAACTCCTACTCTTGGACTCCCCCTATAACCACCCCTTCGTTGGGAAAAATATTTCAAATAAAAAAAAACAAAAAATAATTATTGTAAGTACTGTGTAATTAATCAAAATATAGCTAATAATAATTTCTTGTTTAAATTTAAAATATGTTGTTATCGATAGATAAACAAAAACAAGATATACTAGTTTATAGTTTTGGGTAACTATACTGTTTTAATGTTTTTATTTTGATATACAACCAGTTAATATTTTTGTTTTAATTAATTACTTCGTTTTTTAAGCCAATCCATAATTTGTTCAAAAAAAACTTGATTTTGAGACTTGATTACCTGTTTACCTGTTAGATGTTATCAAAAAAAAAACTGGTAACACAAGTCTGAAATTAATACGCTGTTAAAATAATTTCAACTAATTCTTATTTAATTTGATCTACCAAAAATATTTATTCTAAGCCGGTTTAAATTAAAAATCTGCATGAAAAATAACTAAAATACAGAGAATAACGAAGTAAAAAAATTGTGTTCTCAAACGACTATAGGTGGCAGAATTTGTTTTGAAAGGTGGCGGATGGAATAGGGATATCTTTTGTTGAATTTGTAAATTTGACTGGGAATTACTTTTTCTTCTACTATCTTCTGATTGCTTTCCTTCTTATCGCTTATTATTTTTAAAACTGGATGAAATTTATACTATTGTTTAACTCTAATTTATTTAAATTTTTGACATTTATCCCTATTTTATTAGTTATCTATTTTTACAGCAGTTGGCAGTACGGTCGTTTAAAAACACGAATTAAAAGAATGTTTATCAATTTAAGGTCGATTCAGACACATCAGTCACGTCTCGTCACAGTCCTGGCGCCGAACCGAACAATCCGTCATACAAAATATTCTTTAATAGAAATATGGCGCCGGCATTCACATTCATCAGGCGACGAACAGTTTCCCAGCTGTCAGATAATTAATAGTTCTGTGACCAAACAGGACCGGTTCGGCGCCGGGACTGTGACGGGACTGATGTGTCTGAATCGACCTTAAAGATGCGATTCCCGAGAAGTGCGAGACCATCTCGAGCTAATATGACACTTAACGTGTTATTATTTTACTTTTTTAATTCATATTTTAGGTAAATATAGCAAAAGCTGCAACTAGAGCCTTATGGTCCGTTTCTAAAAGTAAGAAGAATATACGAGTCATGATGAAAAGTGGTTCCGTGCCCCTACTAGCCAGACTGCTGAAATCGGATCATATGGATGTGGTGGTACCAACTATCGGAACGATCTCTCAATGTGCCATCGATCCCACTTATCAATTGGCTATTCAGACTGAAGGAATGATTAAGGATATAGTTTTGCATCTATTTTCTGAGGTAATTAAAGTATATTACGTTTATAATTAAGGCCATCGAGCAGCGGATAAGATAGTAGTTATACAAAAATATATTAGTATATTATATTTATTATATCGTGATGTTAAGCAGTTACTTCATAATTTAGGGTAGGTACATTTATTAATTTTAAATTACATCGACGGTTGTACTTCTATTAGATTCTTTTACTTTACAAAAATATTGCGGGGAATTATAGTACGAACCGCTTCTTTAATTATTCTCTCTAAATGGTCAACGTATTATTATTTAAACGCCCGTTGAAGGTATACCTTTTGCTTTAAGTAACCGTGCAAGTAAAAATAGACTCGGTTTAAATCTGGAGACCGCTAAGGCCGAGAAATTTCAGAGAATAGATAAAAAGCTTTTCCAATTAAAATATACAAGCTAAAATAGAACATTTTTATGAACAACTCAAACAACTTCTACAATACACAAGAGGAAAAGAAATTAATATAATAAGGGGTGATTTAAATGCAAAGGTAGGATAAGCCGAGATAAGACCGTTTGGGAAAGTATGTGCGAATTCTTTTCATATTTTTACAGTTAATATTTTTCTGTTACGGGACTGTAATGTGATCTAATTTAATGCTGCATTCTAACGACCTTTTTAAAATATATTATTTCCTGTTATTTCGTAAAACTTAAACTGGTTATCTCATTTATGATGTTGTAAGTACGGAGAATTTGGCTCTCTTTTGTATTCGGTGTCACAAAGATTGAAACAAGTGGTTGATTTATGGCATGGTCTACGAGCTGACCACCCAACGGTTAGAGGGTGGATTGTGCCCTAGTAACGATCTCAACACACTTCAGACCAAGACAGTGAAAGAAAAACAACGATTTCTCGTGCCTCCGATGCGGGCGTCCCGACGTGGGCAAGCGACATTCCACTGGCTAAGAATCTTACGGCATCAATATCTTCAGAGGGTAAGTATATGTTCTTAGTACAAAACAACAATAATGAGTAAAACCAGTCAATTTCTTAATTTATTCACAATTTATAGTTGCTATTTTCGCTATTTTTATGTACAAACAAATATTGCATGTTTTCTTGATAATTCTTTATCCAATATAATTTAACCAGCGACCTCTCAAGTTTAATCCTAAACAAAGACAATATAATAGGTGTTTATTGTTTAGGAATATGGAATGCTAGAGGCGACACAATGGTTCAATTTTGTCAAGAAGAAAACCTGGCGATTATGAACACATTAGATTAGATATCAATTAGATTGACTTTATTCTAAACAATCAAAGATTTAGAAATTTCATTGTAAGCGTTAAGAGTTTTTCTGGAGCAAATGTCCCCTCATACCATAACCTCCTTGTCTCAAAAATGAAACTGAGGGTAAGACAATAAAATCCAAAAGTTCTTAGGTGAATACTCAATTACTCCATATAAATGAAATTCATGTTGAAAAACTTGTATCAATCAAGAAATGAAGAAATTAACATTAGAAATGAAAAACACTAAGAACGTGAACATTCTGTGGATCAAAATCAAAGATTACGTTATAAAAACACAGAAAGAAACTCTACAAAAGAAAACAGAGATCCGAAATACTTGGATTACTCAAGAAATACTGGAAATCATGGAAGAAAGAAGAAAATACAGAAACAAAAACCCAAATAAGTACAGAGAAAAACATAAAATAAGAAGGAACAAAATAAAAGAGGCTAAGGAAAAGTGAATGATGGAAACATGCATAGAAGTGAAAGAATTGAAGAGAAAGCATGATCATTACAATTTAGTAAAAGTAAAGTAAAAAAGTGAAAGAATTATCTAGAAAATCACGAACAAATATACACCTTAGCGATTAATTGACAAAAACAATAAACTTATTAATAACCCAATTGAAATAAAACAAGAATAGACTAAATATATTGAAGTATATATTGAAATATATACAACAATATTAAAATCTGAAGTCCAACATGCTATAAACAACTTAAAATCTGACAGAACCCCATATGAAGTTCATATAGACGAAGACAATTTAAGTGCAATAACTATACTCTTTAACAACAAATATAAATCTGGTAGGATACCTACAGAATGGCTGCTAGCGACCCTTATTCCGCTACCAAAAACCAAGAACCCCAAACACTGTAATGGCTATAGATTATAGATTATTAAAAACATTTTTAGAGATTATACATCCAAGAATGTTCAGAAAGTGGGAAGCGGATCTAAGTAATAGACAGTTTGGCATTCGTAACGGCTCCCGAACAGGGGAAGCTCTGTATAGTTTCACAACTCTTGCCCAAAAATATCGAGACCAACAAAAAGATTTTTTCGTTGCGTTTCTAGACTATGAGAACGCTTTCGACAAAGTTAAACATGGCATGGAATATCGAAAGAGAAAAGAACTTGACAAAAATGACATTAACATAGTGAGAAATTTCTATTGGAATCAACAGGATGTGGTAACATTAGATGGAAATAGTACGGATGCGCAACAGATAAGTAGATCAGCGAGACAGGGCTGTGTACTTTCACCATTACTATTTAATATATATATATATATATATATATATATATATATATATATATATATATATTCCGAAAAGTTATTTACGCAAGCACTTGAAAATTGTAAAGAAGGGATCAAGATAAATGGTGAAAATATAAATAATATCCGTTATGCTGACGATACAGTCATTATCGCTGAAAGTGAGACAGACCTGTAGACGTTACTAAACACAATTTGTGATACTGGGGAACAATTTGGTTTAACAATAAACATAAAGAAAACAAAAACCATGGTTATCAGTAAAAGGGGCAAAGTCGTTACAAGGATCCAGATAAAAAATGAAGATATTGAGCAAGTGGACAAAATGAAATACTTAGGAGTCTGGGTTACGAAAGATCTGAATCTGGCATCAGAAATTCGTTCAAGAATAGAGCAATTAAGAGTAGCTTCTTTGAAGATGAGGAAATTTCTGAGTAACCAAAGACTCAATCTGCAAATCCGATATCGAATATGGCGAATGCTCTCGATAAAATCACCTATTTTATTGTTTAAAAAGCACAAATAATAATTTACATTTTGGGTTTTTGGAAAAAGAAAGGTCCAATTGTTTGATATTTATAAATTCCTTTATAAGGAATACCCATTTGTTTTGAACGTAAAATGCGGATTCGTATTTCTTACGAACGGCAGTTTTAGCTGGAAACTTTCCCATTTGATGAAAATTTTGCTTCATCCAAAAAAATAATGCATCTTGTTCTTCGAACGTTTCCTGTTATGTCCTAACAGAATTCAAATTGTCAGAATTCGTGTGGCATTTTAAAGTAATTACTATTTAAATGGGAATAAGCCATAATTAAAGGTTAAAGCAAGTTTATTGACATTTCAATTTCCACTTCGAAAATCGTTTTCAAAATACAAACATTTAATTTTATTTGACTTATATATTAACAATTCAGACATACATTAAACATTTTTAAAGTAGACAATTTTAAAATGACATTGCCAATATTGTTGAGTTGCGTTTCTGGGACGACTTTACTTCTAAGATAGTTCATTAGATTACATAAAATCAACTTTAACTTGAAAATATTCGTCAGAAAAAATTATAACATGTAATTCGTCTTTAACATGCCATGATGACAGTAAAATTCTCCTGTTAGTGATTCCATAGTAAATTATGAGGGAAAAACCGGGAAAAAAACCTGATAATACTATCCCGACATGATAGAATAAGTATTTAGTCGTACATTTAGTTTACTTTCAATAAACACCAAATTGCGATTTTATATGTTTGTTATTAAAAAAACATAAATGATGTATCCTCTATATGTTACTGACTTACTAATACATTCTGCCGAGAAATTTGCGACACATCCGTTTCTTTTAGGACGATATTTGAATCATTTCATTGAACCCTATGTTCACTATCCCATGCGTGTTTACATATTCGAGATCTATCAAATTCTCTATTTTTAATATAAGATTGATGTTCATTTATTCTAACATTTAATGGCTTTGAGATTTCACCTAAATAAAACTGATCGCATTCACAAGGTATTTTATAAATACAATTCTTTGTCGTTTCTTGTTCATTGTTAGGTTTGGTTTTAGACAAAATAGATCTCAATGTGTTTGTTGTTTTGAATGTTGTTGAAATGTTGAATTTATTTCCTATCCTTTTAAGTTTTTTCTCATAATCCTTTTATGTATGGTATTGTTATTTTCCTCGTATTATTCCTTCTGTATGTTGTAGGATATCTTTCTAAGTTTTTCTGTTTTATTCGGTCGATTGTTGAAAATTTCTTATTTATAAACGATAAAGCATAATCATTTTTCAATAAAACAGATGTTACTAAATGTTTTTCCTCCAAGAACGAATTTTCATTAGAACAAGCAATTTTGGCTTTATCGTATAAGGATTTAATGATTCCCTTTTTAATATTAATATTGTAATTTGATTTGAAATTAAATTATCTGTTGGTGTGTGTTGCTTTTCTATACACCTGGTTCTCATATCCAGTATCGTTCTTAGAGATTAAAACATTCAGGAAAGGTAGTGTTGTTTATCGTTAATATTATTCAGGAATTTGTCCAACAAATCTGATCCATGAGGCCATATTGAGAATACATCATCTACATATCTCCACCATACTGTGGGTTTTAAATTTTGTTTAGAAATTATATTGGTTTCAAAATCTTCCATAAATATATCGGCTAATATTGGAGATAAACTAGAGCCCATTGCTAGACCAAAATTGTGTTTATAGAATTCGTTATTTAGTTTAAAATATGTATTATCAGTACGTAATGTTAATAACTCCATTATAGCTGATATGTTTAGTCTTGTTCTATAGTGTATATTTATGTATGAGAGAGTAATAAAACAATAAATTATGTATGCAAATCCCTAAACTGTTGATACGGGTGACTCAATGAAAAACAGATATTTGTCACCAAGTTTACAGAAGTATATAGGAAAACAATTTTAAATTGAGTATGACCACC